GATGTTAATGCTTCAAACGTGTAGAGTACATAAAGCTGTTACAACATTTTTAAGAAATATATGATCTTTTGTTATAATGTATGCTGTCTATCAGTTCTTGTGTCATTGAAGACCTTAATGGATCTTAATCAAATCCAGGTCCTTCAGAATTAATTCATTGAACTGTTATGTATCATTTATCAGGAATCCCACAGATATTTGCCAGATATTTTATATTACAAAAATGTTATTTCATTCACGTACCATGTTTATATTATTCTCCATTTTTATTCTTTTTGATGACACATGAAAATGATGTAAAATGCATGTAAAATAATCAGCAAAAACATCCCAAGCAAAGTCTCAAGGATCATTATTTAAGATGAATTAATTGTTGATGTGTGAATGGGTTATAGGCTTCCCTCATTTAGGTGTTGCCTCTGAATGACTCAAGTGAGGTTAGTTTGTGGAGGGTGGGGGGCTGTTGTTAAAAATGTGTTACCTCTTCTGTGCTCTCTGTGTCCTCACCTGTTCTGATCTCTGCAACACTGGGGAAAGAAAAGAAAATCGGTACCTAATTCCAACGGCATCAGCTTGACATGGATTCCTAATGTCCTGACAGGAGGAATGTGTTTAGAGATGCTATACAAAGAGTAAGTATGAACACACACACTGAAAAAACATCCTCTACCTTTTCTTTCCTTCGATAGATGTGCACTTCAGAAGCACAGATTCGGCCATATATCGTTTGCAACCAATAAATCAGAACCTAAGAAACGTACAGTATTCATTTTAATGTGACAAACAGACAACTTTAAAAATATTTAAGGTTTCAGTTTAATCTTTTCAATGAAGTTGCTACTTATACTGAAGTACTGCAGTTAGGAAGCCAACAATTACAGAAGAAGTGTGAAGTCATGCTTCTGTTTTATTGTACTACGTATATAATCTCTGATTGTTATATTGACACCCGTAGCTTTAGAGGCCTCAAAGCCAAAGAAAATATGGTCAAATATTTGGTGTATATACTGTTACAATTAATGTCTCAAACTTGAAGAGCATTTACAGTACATACATAAATTATCTTTTCTAACATTAAATGCTAGTTATACAATTGTAATAAAAAACATTTCATTTCTTGGTGATCCCACATTTTCCCATTTTCATTTTTGTAGCTATTACAGATATTCTATACTTAATTGAACTGTCCAATTTCCATTCATCACTTTATTAATTTGAATGATGAATGTAAAATAACCTGCCAAAATGTACATAACCTCAAAGCCGCAACCTCCGCAAGGATCATAATTGCAGATGAATGGATTTCTGATGTTTGTGTTGTACGGCTTCTGCCATCAGTCTCTTTAGAAAAAACAACTGGATGAGAAAGTTATCGATATTACAAAAATGTGTGTGTGTGTGTGTGTGTGTATATATGTGTGTGTGTGTGTGTGCATATATGTGTGTATATATGCACACGGAAGCTTTTTCGCTTCCGGCTTCGCTACTGTATAACATTTCTGTCCCCCTCACTTCTGAAATGATGGCTACGCCGCTGTATATAGTAAACACAGTGTAGTTTTACCGAGCAAACAGCAGAACCGGAGAGAAAGACCTTGAATACATCAAGTCCGCTAAAAGATTGAACTCTAGGCAGGCTCGGTGGGCTCTTTTTTTCGGCCGATTCGATTTTTCCATTTCTTACCGTCCTGGTTCTAAGAACATCAAACCGGATGCGTTATCCCACATTTTTGATCATTCGGAGCGCCCGTCCCTGCCCGACCCCATTGTGCCTAGGAAACTTTTTATTGCTGCGGTCACATGGGAGATCGAGTCAAAGGTCCGCACGGCCTCTCAAGGGGTAACGCCCCCGTCCGGGTGCCCGCCGAGCCGGTTGTTTGTGCCAGAGTCCGTAAGGTCCGACGTTATCCGATGGGCTCATTCTTCCAAGGTAGCCTGTCATCCTGGGGTGAGTCGTACCATGTTTCTTGTTAAACAACGGTTCTGGTGGTCAGGTATGGCTCGGGACATTAGTTTATTTGTTTTGGCCTGCTCAGTCTGCGCTGTTTCTAAGTCTTCCAATCGCCCCCCCGCTGGGCTTCTTCAGCCGCTGTTGGTTCCTTCGAGACCCTGGTCCCATGTTTCGTTAGATTTTGTCTCGGGTCTCCCCCCTTCTCAGGGGAACACGGTGGTTTTGACCGTGGTGGACCGATTCTCGAAGGCGACTCATTTCATTCCTCTGCCTAAATTACCCTCAGCCAGAGAGACAGCAGTTGCTGTCATAGACCACGTTTTTCGTTTACATGGCCTCCCGGTAGACGTGGTCTCTGACAGGGGGCCCCAGTTTGTGTCCAAATTTTGGGCAAACAGCAGAACCGGAGAGAAAGACCGTGGCAGCTGCCAGAAACGACTCGTGGCAGCTGGGGAAGCCACCAGAAGTGGCTCTGCGACCTGCCGCTGCCAGGATTTGCGCTCGCTCTCTCTCCACCGGTGTGCAGTGGACGACCTAAGCCTAATGTTAACGTGTGAATATTTACCGACCAATAGCAAAACATAAAATTGGGTAAAGAAAGCCCACCACTCAGTTGACATCTATGAAGTAATGCTTTCTAAATTCTGGGAGCTTTACTACCCCACGAAAAATGAGTAACTATCTGATTGATAGATTAAAAAAAATTCTTAGGAAGAAACACATTGAAAAACAAAGAGAAACTTTGCAAAAACATTCATATTCAGAACACTGACACGACCAATCAATGATAAGCTAAACTGCTCCATCAGACTAAAGGTGATGATCCACGAGCAGTGGGTAGGGTTACAGACACAGGGTTAACCCACGACCGATCTAAAGTACCCGGATCCATCTGCTGCCCGTTCTCAGTGGGAACGTGCCCAAGCATCATCACCTTTAGTCTGTTCCAACAAAGGGAGGACATTTGCAGCTAAAGAGAGGGTAAAGATCTAGTAATATTGATGCCAAGGTATCTGCATCCCATTTTACTTAATTTAACTGGAACAGACCCATAGCAGCGCATTAACAGGGAAACACTCACTTTTGTGAAGATTCATTTTATAATCAGAGAACGAGCCAAATCTTTCTAATATGGATTTCTTAATTTGAATGCACCAGGCCATGAAGGAGAGGACCTCAGATCTATCGACAGCGGTTCTATGACCAATGCAAACAGCAAAAGGGAAAGCCATTTTTAAAGTAAATTGCCTGGTGAGGGGTCGATTGTAACAAAGGCACTCTGTGTATCTGACATCAGCTCACGAGGGCTGTGTGAAGCGGTTTAAACTGGTGCAGTTTGTTGTGAACAAATGTGGCTACTTTGTATAAAAGTTTGAACACTCTATCTCAAAAATTCAGTGAGTCACAGACGCTGAAGCAAAAAGTGTTACAGCCATCCCCAGTCCGCTCAGACATGGGGTTACTTTAATCAAACATTGAACACAACTCTAAAAGGTCCCATCCGTTCAGCCTGAGACACTGGGATCGGCCCAGCATTCCCACCAGCCCTACACAGGGGGAGACCAGGGATGGCCATGACAGGCTCAGATGTAACACTTCCAGTGTCACAAAGAAGCAACAAGTTACAAATCCCCTGACTGATGTCACGCATGCTGTTATTGCACATGTGAGGGGTAGAGCCCTGTGGCAGACACGGCAGATTTTGGAGGGGAAAAACTAATTTTGAGGGAAGAAAGTAATTTTATTTTTGTGATGACAGTGCCTGCTTTGTAGTTAATTACACAGTGTAATCTGACCCCATCTATTAATTGTAACATCTTCCGTTAAGGCTGAGCGTTACAAGCTCCTCAAAGTTAACCTGTGTAGATAGTTAGTGCTAATGTTTTGGCTGTTATCTGTACGGTGAGCTAGTTCATGGCTACTCTGGGTTAGTTGTAACATCAATGAAACATGCTTTCTTTGAATTTCAGTAGATCTGGGAAGAGAAAGACAAACCGAGGCGGTGTCTCTCAATGTTCAAGTGTTCAAGTTCAATTTTATTTTGGCCAATCACTTTGACTGACAGTAGCAAACATGCTTACACACACATTTGTTGAGAAGTCAGTGTTGAATGAAACGCTTTCAAAATCCACTTTTTGGTCATAATCCTAATTTCACAGTGTTCCCAGGGTATGGGGCGAACTGTAACATTTCACTCCTGGTGTTTGAAACGAAACCGTGCGTGTTCAGTTTGTTCTGCAAAGATAACAGTGAGGTCATTTCATAGCAGACACTTGTAACTAGTTGGAGTCACATTTTGAACTCTCTGGCTCGAAAGAACTCCAAGATACAGACAGAAATGTCAAAGCTGTTACAACCCTCCCGGTGTGCAGGGTGGATGAGAAACTCAACAAGCATAGCAGCTCAGAGTGCTTTAGCCATCTCTTACCAATCATGGCTTGTTTATGAACTTCTTCAAAAAGCCATGATTGAAACCAAACTTCCTAAACAACTCTCACTCACCTGCTTACTTATGTAGAAGTTTACCATTTCATGATACCTGATTCCTCCCAAAAGCATTTATCCGACATGCAATGAATCTACTATAACTTATCTCTATTAAAAAGAATAAAATGTGAAGACCCACAGCTGCTAAAAGCACTATACTAATACTTGCGTGCTGTTTGTGAGATGCAAATGTGACTACACGCACAGCTTCAGATAGCAGCGTCATGCATTTGATTACAGAAGCAGCTCGTGCTCTGAACTGAACGCGCGCATTCCACAAACATCCGAGCGCTCGCTCTCTTGTGGGCGTGGTGCTACCAATGCGCCACGCCCTGTTACTATGGTAACTCCTATCACAGACAATAAACTGGATAAACAGGGCCGAGCGCGTGGCTCTGGCGACACGCCCACCAACGAGGGCGGTTGTACAACAACAGTCACGTGACACACGGAAGGTTGCATAAATGAGGATGACAGCGCCAGCCGTCAAACAGCCCAGAGTCAGAGTCAGAGTCAGAGACAGAGACAGAGTCAGAGTCAGAGACAGAGTCAGAGTCAGAGACAGAGTCAGAGTCAGAGTCAGAGTCAGAGTCAGAGACAGAGTCAGAGTCAGAGTCAGAGTCAGAGATGCTGTCGTGGATCGCGGCGCTGCTGTCGTGGATCCTCTCCGCGCACCTCGCGCAGCGCCTGTGTTTCCCGCACTTCTGGAAAGACGCGCTGTTTCTAATGAGAGTCATCCGATACGGAGCGCGGCTGGAGATCTACAGAAGAAGCTCGCGGGTCGTGACGGTCGTGGACAGGTTTGTTCAGCAAGCCCAGCGGATTCCCGACAAAGCCTTCCTGATTTATGAAGGAGTGGCGTACACCTACGGAGAGCTCGAGCAGCGCAGCAACAGAGTCGCGCGCGTCTTTCGAGACGCGGTGAAAGAAGGAGACACGGTGGCGCTCCTCATGAGCAACGAGCCCGACTTCCTCTCGGTGTGGTTCGGCTTCTGCAAGCTGGGCTGCGCGGTGGCGTTCCTCAACACCAACATCAGGTCCAGGTCCCTGCTGCACTGCTTCAGCTGCTGCGGGGCCGAGCTGCTGGTGGTCGGAGCAGGTAAGGCGAGTCCTGACGCCTGCACCCGGCGCATCTGTAAACGAGCGACAGAGCTAGCCTGCGTCCAGCTCGGGATATAACAAGGCATAAACTGGCTGTGTTGCTTCATGTAATTGGTAAATAACATTTGAGAGCAGCGGCACCAGCGCCACAAGCTCTGCAAGTTACTATTGTTTTGCTTTAATACGTGCAGTTACTAATAATATTACACGTTTATTTCTTTGGGTAATACACGTTTGACAGTAAAGCACCGAGCTTGAGTTGGGAAGCAAATAAAACTTACTTTTATTAACAAAACCTAAGTTTTAAATGGAAAATTAACCTATTCTACTCTTATTAAATGTACCATTATTCTTCTATGGTGTTATACGGAGCTGACTGATGACTTCAGTGATTATAAAAGAAACACCCGGCTTAAACCTAGTCCCCGTCTAAACTGTAAGTCTGAGCTGTTTCAACTGAAAGAAACCTGCACTGGTTGATCTTGAAAAATGTCAGTGCCCTTGTTTTGTCTCAAGATGCACACCATTAATGCTTTTTTCAAAGGCATGTTTATAAATTACTTTAAAATGCTAATTGAACTATGGCCTAGTCCTGGCTTAAGCTAAGCCCCGTCTGTGAAACCGGGCCTCTATGTGTGATTCTGTTGCAGATTTAAAATATAAAAAAATAAGGCTTTTTGTGACTTTTCTTACTTCATACACAAAAAAGTGCAACATTTTTGATTTCTTGATGATTTGATTTCACGATTTTATCATTTCAAAATATAAAGCAAAACGTAGAAATGAGTGACTAATAAGCCAACAAGTGCTCCTCTGCTGCCATCTACTGGTTATGTAATTCGATGTGTGTTTTAATTTTATTTTAATAAGTGTTTGTTTACCACAAAGTATATCATTTAGAGCTGTAAAGTGCTGGAAATAGTTGCGCAAAATACTTGAACGTCACTGAAAAGTGCTTGAATTTGTCTCTGGTTCCCGAGTAAACCTGTTCTGAGCTGATAAACCGTCCACGCTGCGCAGCTCAAACCAATGGTCTGGAGCCCGGTCAGACATAAACGCATGAACAAAACCACAGATTTAAGAATAGCAACAATAATAATCTCCCAGTCTCAGTTTGAAGCTGAAAGAAGAGCCGTCATCGCTCCCATAAAGCAGTTATCTATATGAACCACATTACACTGCTTACCTGTCTGCAGGTGCTGATTGAAGCAGGTCAAAGTCAGAAGTTGCCGAAACATCTTTCAGGAAGAAAAAAAAAAGGAAAACTTTTAGTAGACAAAATTAAAACAGGTTTGAAGGTTGTAAATCTCACTTCCGCATCAAATTCAATCTGTTGTATCCACAGAAACAAGCTGAAAAGCAAATTTTTTTCTGTGGTTACATCAGTTATAATGTTTTCTGGCACATGAAATAACACATGGACCTGAACGTTGCTTCTTTTTGAGTATACTATTTAAAGGTATAAAGTAAGTAAACAAAGGTAAAGCATTAACTCTAAATAGGTAGGTGTTTATCATCTGTAATAGTGCTGTTGTTGCAGATCTTCTGGAGACGTTAGAGGACATTCTTCCCAGTCTCCAGGAGGACGGGATCACAGTGTGGTGTATGACTCGGGAGAGCCCTCGTCCCGGCGTGCACAGCCTGCTGGATCAGATGGAGGAGGCTTCGCAGGAGCCCGTCGCAGCTGAGCGCCGCTCCGTCCGCTGCCTCCGAAGCCCCACGCTCTACATCTTCACCTCCGGGACGACCGGTATGTGCAGTCTCTGTTCCTCTCGGTGTGTCAGGGGAACCCACAGACCTGGAGGAACCGCTGCTGGAGGGCCCCTGGTGCTCAGTGTTACACAGCAGTGCTAAACACAAGCCTGGATTCGCTTTTTAAATATTATCATTACCAGAGTCCCTCAAACAGCTTAATAGCGCCAACAGTTTGTAGAGCTTGAATGTCAGAAGCAGTCCTGCACAAACAATAAATGCTCATTACAGCCAGTGCTTTGTTGTAGGCAGTGTAGTTAGTAACGGACTCAGTTTTAGATTACTCATTTATCACATACATTTGAATGGGATTGCTGTGTACCGTATTGATATAAAAAAGAAAGAAAATATATTATTTTCTTTGTTATCTTTTTTACGCCCGGTTTCACAGTCAAGACTTAAGCCTAGTCCCAGACTAAAATGCATGTCTGGGCTGTTTTACCTGAAAGAAACTTGCACTGACACATCTTAAAACATCTCACTGCCATTGTTTTGCCCTGAGATGCAAGATGTGCTTTTTCTAATTGAGCTAAAACCTAGTCCTGGCTTAATCTAATCTCTGTCTGCAAAACCTGGACTTATTGTAATAAGCATTACATTAAATCAAGGTTTCCTAAACTGGTGTTTGTGAAAGAACTGTGGGTAAAACCCCTGAAACGTGAACAGTAGAAATACAAACACGCTGTTTACCTGCATGCCAGTGTGGCCATCTGTGAACACGCAAATGTGTTGTTAAAATATTGAAATATTAACTGAAAATCTCAGGGGATATGTCAAGTAAATATTTTAGGTCGAAGGGTTTCCGGTGACAAAAAATGGTGGTGAATCGGATTCTTGCATTATATGAACAAACATTAAAAAATATGAAAACAGCAATCACATTAAATGCCCAAAGTCTAGTGTTCTTGTAGGTTTGAAGTATTTTTCTCCAGACTTCCATGAATCATTAATTACTGATGGACACTCGATATGATGAAGATGTAGCTAGTATTTGCTACATTGGCCTTGTTTAGTAATTTGCTTAATTATCTCTGTATGATTGAGTGAAACGATGAAAGGCGTTTTCCACAGTGATGTGACTCGCACTGTACATTATGTGCATTTGTGCATTTGAATGTGTTTGAAAGACAAAAGTCTCCCAAAGGCATATACTACATGGTTAAATCACTCCCTGAGTGAAATCAGATAATTATTCAAGTGTTTTCATCAGGAGTCGATTAGATGTGCAGTTTTGAGAAAACAGCAAATGCTTGTATAGATTTGATGTGTAATCTTCTGCATGTTTTTGCCATGTAAAAGTGCAATGATTTCTGTAAATCCAGCGGTCAAATGCTGCGCGGCCCAATGTTTAGGTAGGATTGTTTAGAAAGGAACAGTTAAAAAAGAAAAAGCAAGAATCAATAAATGAATCTATAAATGATGAATAATTTACCACCATTGTGTGAATAACATGTAATCATGCAATCCATAAAAAAGTTTTAATGTGGATGTGTGTGTATGCTGTTGTAATGTTGTGACAGAATGTAAGTGTGAAAGCCTCACACGCTGATCATGAGGTATGGTCTAACATAATAGAGCTGCTCGTCAGATATAAACTTTCATTTCTGTTGTGTTGAGTGATTTCCCATGCTGCACTTTTCCTCAGTTAATGCCATTTTCCTCTGTGCAAAAGAAGGTTATTGTCTGTGCATGGCTCATCTGATTGCTGTCGGACAGCAGCACGCTTCAGTCTGATAGATGCAGTTCGGTTTAGACAGTGTGAGCTGTCTCGTTGTTAGACAGGAGACACCGGCTCATGATTTATCATGGATTTGGTGCTGTTTCAGTAATCTTGTTTGTGTGGCAAACGCACCCTCTGAATTTATTGTCCAAAAGTTACATTTAGTTTCATCAGACCATGAAACATTCAGCCACTTGGTTTCGGCAAAATGTAGATGGCTGGCTTTACAGTATATTTGTGTTTATGTATTTATTCGTATTGAGTAATGGCTTGTGAAGAATACAGGGTATTGTTGTGGCATGCAGACAGTGGCCAGTGTTTGCCAGACAGTCCTGCAGCTCCTTTAATGTACTGTACATCTGTACATTAAAGTGCTCGGTCCAAGAGCTTCCAGAAAACCATGCTATATAGAACCTTACTGGTCTTATGAATAGTTTAGTTATTAGTAGTTTTTATATTATTTATCAATTATTATGTTTGTTTACCCCTCTCTCTGCCTGTTCTGCATGATACCTTACAGCCATTACTGGGGCTGCACTGAAACTCACAGCACATTGTGTCAGTTAGGTGCTTTTTTATTCACACAGGGATATCTTCACAGTCCTCTCTGATGTATTTACGTTCATCATTATGTGCATATTTGGTGTAACTGAACATAGAATGAATGCGATAGCTTTAATGTTTTTGTTACTGGGCATGTTGATGCATAAACCCAGGTAAGACCATCTGAGAGCTCTTACAATATGGATCATACTTTCAGTATCTCTGTCACGTAGTGTTTCTCCCGTCATTATATTAGGGGGGCGACCCGCCCCCCCCCCCCCACCGCAGGTCAAGTTAATATTTAATTATATTTTCTCTATAGCGCCAGATCACAACAGAAGTCATTTAAAGTTACCTTTCCGATAGAACAGGTCTATACCTTGTTCTTTTATTAAACAAATTAAATAGCCTTATGTTATTTATCTTATTTACACGACGGCATGTCATTTCGGTCTCTACGTTATGGTCGCGCTCTCTGCATCACGCACAGCAGAGTTCCGCCCGATGCGCGCGCTCACACACACACACACACACACACACAAGCAAAAAATAAAATTTGTTTAATTTTCATTACTTAAAAGATAGATTAAATGAATGTTTTATGCCTTAAAACAAAATGTAAATATACAATACAGAATTTCTGAGCAGAAAAATCATAAGGCTATTGTAAGAATAAATTAATCTTGTTTTATGCTTTCAAATAATTAGACATGCTAAAACAGAATTTGGTTACAATAAAACATAAGGTTGGAAAAATAAAAACATTTCATATGGCCCTAAACATGTAATATTTGTTAAATTTTTAATAAATTGATGTTAAATTGTTTAAGTTTCATGATTTTCATTAATTAGACATGCATTTTGATTGCCCCCCCCCCCAAGACCGTAAACCTAGGGGAAACACTGTACTGTACTTGCGTAGAGGAGAAGAGAAGAGAAGTGTTCTCAAATGGACGAAGCTGATTATGTGGCTTCTTCTGTATTGTAATGGTGTGTCACTGTTGCAGGGCTGCCCAAAGCTGCAGTCATCACTCATTTGCAGGCCCTGAAGGCAGCAGGAGGGTTTTGGGTGTACGGTGCCACAGGAAGTGATGTCATCTACACGCCGCTTCCCCTGTATCATAGCGCTGCCTCGCTCGTGGGCATCGGAGGGACCATTGAATTGGGTAATTCTCTTAATCAAACCTTTTAATGAACAGCCTATAGGTGATTACTGCAGTTGTAACTGATGTGATGGTGTGTAATGCTGATGTTAATGACAAAGCAGTTCATCTAATCCAGATATACACTCAGATTGGCTGAAAGAATATTCATGACTTGCTCTCAAGGGTCACCCAAAAATGAACATTCTGTCATCATTCACTCTCTCTCTCATGTTGTTCCAAAACTGTATGAATTTCACTGTGGTTTTTTCCCCATAAAATGACAGTCAGTGGAGTCCAATGTTGTTTGCACACCAGTGTTCATCTATTCCTCTATCTTCTTTTGAGTTCAATAGAAGAAAGAAAGTCATGCAGGTTTGGAACAACATGAGAGAGAGAGAGAGAGAGAGTATATATAATATATATTATGCCTGTATAGCACTGTTTATTGCAACATTATGCTGTTCCACGGTCATGCCAATAAAGCTAATTTGAATTGAATTGAGAGTGAGAGAGAGATTTCAAATTCCATTTTATTACAATATAACGTACATACAAACCCCCCCGCCCAAAAAAACAGCCATCCATCTTGCACAAGCCTAAATTACCTTAACAGAAAGGGAAAACAGCTCTTCTTCCACAACTTTACAAAGAACCCCATTTAAACACTAGATCGTTTCAAACATTAAACGATCATGCATTAATTTATGATAATAGAAATCAATTAAAATCCTGGATTTTACAAGTTTAAAGAAAACAGCTACTAGACTTTTGTTAATATTCATGTCAATTTTCTCTTTTCTAGTGACATAAATTGCCATCTTTGCTTGACCCAACAAGAAATTCATCAACTGAGATTTCTGACGCCTACTTCTAACATACTTAAAACCACAAATTAACAATTTCATTGAAAACATGACATTGAAAGATTTAAAAAGCATCTCCAGCATATCAAAAAGGGGTTTCAACCTTTCACAATACATAAATGCATGAAAAAGAGTTTCTCTTTGTTAACAAAAAGGGCAACAATCAGTACCATCGGAATTAAACAAAGAAATAAAAACATTTACAGCAACGGCGCCATGCAGTATTCTCCATTGCAAATCCCCAGTTTTCTTAACCAAAGGTGACTTATATAAAACTCTCCATTCTGGTTTTTCATCTACAGTAAGCTGAAGTACATCTCTCCAAGGTGTGTCAGACTTATTATTCAAAAAATTTTATTAAAAACTTTTACACAATTTTTATACAAACATTTGCCAGATGCAATTTCTGAACCCACAATTATTAAATCTTTGCAGTCTAACAGCATACCATTGCATTCTCCCATACTTGGACATACACTTAAATTCGGGAAAGGGTCTTTACAATTAAAATTAATAGACCCCTTTGGATACAGATCCAACAGTTCTTTTTCCTCTCCAGTAAGAGCCGAGCTCCAAATATCAAGAGCCTTTTGCACAACTCTACAAGATCGGAGTCTCAAATGTTCAGCAGTTGCAGTCACATTTCTGAAATCAGGTCCTGCTATTTGATACAGCTGGCCAACTGTTGTCACCTCGGCAATCCGCAAAGTTCTTTCCGGTATAGCAAATTATGTTTCATGTGACAGATCCAGTCGCGAACCGCAGACTAAAAGTTCTTGCTGTAACCAGAAAAGAGAAAACACATTGTTTCCTCTATTAATCCTGAACAGAGACCAGACTTGTTTGCGATAAAAAAACTGGAGATTCACAGAGTTTTAGTCTTTGAGGATCCAGCCAAAACAAAGCTTTGTCCAGTCCTAAACCTTCAATGTTCCGGAGAATTACACAGGCAGCACCCACCCAATTTGACTCCATAGGAAATAATAAAAGTCTTTGTATATACTGAAGGCGAAAAGCAGCCGTTCTGCTCTGCAAATGTATTAGTCCAAGTCCTCCTTCTTCTTTTGACAGGCACAACACACTTTTCTGTACCCAGTGCAACTTATCCCAGAAAAAGTCAATTAAGGTTGACTGTATTTTTGCTAAATATTTAAAACCATCCCCAGTCCACTTCAGACCACCAGGAAGCCTTGGTTCCCCTGTTGACCATTTTCCAACTAAAATGGCTTCACTCTTTTTCCAGTTCACCTTGGCAGAAGAAAGAACTTTAAAAGCTTCCAAAATTAAAAAAGCTTTAGCTGATCCACTGATCAAAACGATCACATCATCAGCATAGGCTGATAACTTAAAATTGTGACCACAGTTGGGTATATGTAATCCACACACATCAGATCTTATTTTATTTAACAAGGGTTCTAATGCTAAGGAATATAACATTCCTCCTGATAATGCACAACCTTGTCTGACACACTTGTACACTCTAAAAGGACAGCATAAGTCACCATTCATTTTTAAAACACTCTCAACTTCGCTATATAAGGTTTTTATCATTGAAATAAAACCAGAATCAAAACCAAAGGCTTTCATAACACTCCATAAATACAAATGCTCGACTCTATCAAAAGCCTTCTCTTGGTCAATCGATATTAGCCCAAAGTCTAAATCAAAAAATTTACCACCATCTAAAATGTCTCTAATAAAAGAAATATTATCTGAAATTCTCCTACCTGGCACATGATAAGATTAATCAGGATGAATCACATGTTCCATAGCCTTACCCAATCTGGGGAAGTCGTGGCCTAATGGTTAGAGAGTCGGACTCGTAACCCAAAGGTTGCGGGTTCGAGTCTCGTACCGGCAGGGATTGTAGGTGGGGGGAGTGAATGTACAGCGCTCTCTCCCACCTTCAATACCACGACTGAGGTGCCCTTGAGCAAGGCACCGAACCCCCAACTGCTCTTTGGATGGGATAAATGCAGAGCACTAATTCCAAGTATGGGTCACCATACTTGGTCACATGTCACTTCACTAATTACAAGGGTTTTAGAAAGCAATTTATAATCGTTGCACAACAGGCTTACAGGCCTCTAGTTGCCAATCTCATTAAGATCTCCTTTTTTTGGTAACAACGTTATAACTGCCCTGCGGCAGCTACGTGGCTGTTCATTTTTCAAGTTCATTTTTCAAGTTCATTTTTCAGACTCTCGTTGAAAACTGCTACTAATTCTGGGCCTACCTCTGACCACAAGGCTTTATAAAATTCAACCGTTATACCATCTATTCCGGGTGTTTTACCATTTTCCATCTTCTTCAATTTATCCTAAACTTCTTCTAAACTTAAAGTTTTACTAATTTCATTATTAACATCTTCAGCTATCTGTAGTAATTAAAAAAAACCCAATATGATCATCTTTTACTTCTAAAATTTCACTTTTATATACGGTAAATCCTTATAGAACTGTACAGCTCTTTTCCTGATATCTACATGATTAGTCAATAAAACCCCGTTTTCAGACCGCAAAGCATGAATACGTTTTTTCTGACCGTTCTTTTTCTCCAGATTAAATTTTTTTTTTGAAGGAGCATCCATTAACTCGACACTTTGATACCGAGATCTAATTATAGTGCCTTGTGTAGTCAAACCCAGCAACTCGGCTAATAAATTATTTTTTTTCTTAACATTTTCCATAATATTGCCGAAAGTTCCTTTCGTAAATATTGGAACATCTTGTAATTTCATTAACTCTTCTTCCAAGACACTCATTGACTCTTTAACTCCCTTTGTGGCATTTTGAGTATATTGTTGACTTAATTGCTTAATTTGCACCTTTACAAAATCCCACCACTGTTGCAATGACAAAAAAGTGGATTTCATAGTCTTAACATTCATCCAAAATTCTCTAAAAACTTCTCTAAAAAAGGAATCACACAACAAACTATTATTGAAATGCCAATATGCACTTTTTGCCTTTATATAACTATTTGTCATAACACACTTGATCAAACTGTGGTCAGAAAAACATACTGGAGTTATCATGCATTATCTAAACATGCTTAACTGATGTTTAAAAACATAAAATCTATCAAGCCTTGCCAAAGATATCTGATTATTATGAGCATGAGCCCAAGTATATTGTCTATGTGTGCCATGAAAATTCCTCCAAACATCAATAATGCTATTCGATTTTATAAGTTGAAATAGCCTCTTCCTTGATTGCATATGAGGTTCAACATGATTCCTATCTATACCACTTTCGGTGCAATTAAAATATTAATAACTAATATTAAAAAAATCATCACTGTTACAATCACTCAAAACTTTATCCAAAGTATGTAAAAAAATCATTCTATCTAAAGCATTAGTTGGGGCATAAACACAAACAAATACAAAAGAGCTGTTTTCAAAAAAAGCATTGATCTTCAACAATCTTCTTTTAATAACTTCTTCAACATTATAAGAATGTGGAATAAAATTTCCTGAAAATAACATGGCAACACCACCACTTAACGAGGTATAATAACTTAAAATTGCCAAACCATTCAATTCTCTAATCCAATCTGCAGTATTTTCTATATCACTATGTGTTTCTTGCAGAAACAACACATCAATATTCTTATATTTCATCAATTCAAACGCTTGAACTCTCTTCCTAATGTCTCTTGCTCCATTTATATTTAAAGAAGCGAAGCTTATTTCCCCCATAGAAAATAAAAGAGAAAAACAGAAAAGACAAAAAAAAAAGAAAACTTAAACCAAAACCGTCTTTTCTTTTAACTTGTTTTTGACATTCTACGAACTTCCTTTTTTGTGGAGTTTAAAAAAAAACATCCATCGTCATTCAACACTGGGACCTCAACTTCAGGATTTTATTCCTCTTATTACTATTTCCTCTTTTTCACCATTACTATCATCTGACTCACTTAATTCTTCCACTACCTGTTCTACTCCAGGGGAGATTCTAACCTCTTCATTCTCACTTGCAGCAATTTCATCTTTTTCAGTTTCTTCCGAACTTTCCACCGGGTTTTCTGGAACAACAAGTGCCGTGCTTTGACCCAGCATCTCAGCAGCAACCGCTGCAATATTATTCTGCCCATTTCTGGATGCCTTGCTTGGACCCAGCATCTCAGCAGCAACTGCTGCAACATCATTCTGCACATTTTCAGTGACTATCATTTCCTTTCTTTGGACACGCACGGACAAGATGACCATTTTCTCCGCATCCAAAACATTTAATTATATTTGTCGTGGCATAAATTACATAATTAACATCATCATGACGGAAATTAAGAGTCAGATCAAGTTCATCAACATTATCCTTCAGAACCATGTATGTAAAACGCCTGAAAGACATTACATGTTTTAACTGAGGGGACTTACTTCCAATCGGAATCATCTTTAAGGGAGAAATCAATTTTCCATACCTAGAAAGGATTCCGGTTAAAGTCTCATTCTTGATAAATGGCGGAACGTTACCTTCTTTGAAGGGGTAGAAAGAGGGCGCACTGAAATAAAAATGCCATCAATCTCAATACCACTCTCTGTTAGCAAGTTCGCTAACTCAACCATCCTAACAAACAAAACAACAGCATTATTCATCCGTGACGCCGATAGAACATTTTCATTACCAACTACTACACCTACCGCTAAAGCGCACTGTTCTACACTTCCAGTAGTATCCACTTTTATTCCATGGCGCCTCGTTAGAAAATCTAAACTCCCCGCGCTTGCAGCCGCCATACTCCCAGTACACAGACTGTGAGTAAAATTCCTTAAGACAACAACTTCTTTCTTACTACTATTTACCAAAAGACACAACGCAACTATTATTATATTATGGATTGAAGTATTCCTTTAAGATTTATTACTCCATTTTGCATTTATTTACATTTTAAATAGACTCTTTCTCAGCAAAATAATTATAATTATAGTATGCAATGCAATTAGTATATAATTACAGCCGTTAGACTGAAACACCGAGTCAAGGCAACAGAGCGCAGCAGTCGGGTTCTGGAAGTAAAACCCCATTTGTTTCTTCATAGGGAAATTGATTTTTATCGATAACTTATAAACCTTTAACGACCATATATGCCAGCGGTGTCCAGTCCTGCTCCTGGAGGTTCAGCTCAACCAGCTCAAACACACTTGTCTGCAAGTTTCTAGTAATCCTGAAGAGCTTGATTAGCTGGTTCAGGTGTGTTTCGTTAGGGCTGGAGCTAAACTCTGCAGCACAGTGGCCTTTCAGGAACAGGTTTGGACACCCCTGCTATATGGTTTTGTTGAAACCATCAGTTCGCATTATTTCAGCGTATTAAATAATCGTGTTTAATAGCAGAATCCCTGGTAAAAAAACAAACTACGACCCATAGCTCTGCCCACTGATGAACCCTCGCGTATAGTCTCCTTACATTATCAAAATAATCAAATATTTGAACGTGCATAATTTGCAATAAAACTCAATTCTACTGTTTCTGTAGACACAATTAACAACTTTAAAAGAACAGTTCCATCATTTTTAATTGGATTATGTCATTCGCAGTGCTTCATGGGATTGTAGTTCTTTCCCTCCCCAAAGCCCTTAGGTACACAGTCTTGTACATTTGTCCTTTTGTCAGATTTTCATGTACTTCTTTGCTTCATATAAAAGTTTGTAATGTTATGATTCTCCTCGTAGCTGCTTGGCTTGGTTCATGGCTTATAGTGCTTTAACAAAGACTTTGTTTAAATCCTCATGGGAAAAATACTTACGGCACTGTTACAATCTATTAATACAGCTGTTTTTTGAGCCTTAGAGTCTGTGTTTCTGTTGCAAAGTAAAGACAGCAAATGTTATGAAAGTGTTTGCTGGATTTAAAGATCTGTGCCATATAGAGCACTTTCCTCGTGATTTCCCCCCTTATGATCACTTTTATTATGATTGAGCAACCAGCCAAACACTAAACCCTGTGCTAGAGACCATTGATCAGTCTGGTTCAAGTGTACATGCCTTATTGCTTAATAGGTCATTTTTTAAAGTCAGTGTACTCTGATTGGTTAGATTTTACCTTAGATGATCATGGAAAAGCTTTCATTTCAAAGGCTTTGGATAAATGACAAAGCTTTGTTTGGCCATTCCTTAAAGGCCAAATTAATTCACTGATTAGGGTTAGAACTGAACTCTTTCCCCGTCAACAAATATGATTTTATTTGTTGCCCTTTCACCAAAACCAAACAGAATTATCTTGTGAATAAACTCTAATAGCAATGGAGCATGCCTGTATAATGTTCATTGCCAAAAGCGGCCTTATTAACTCTTATCAGGCTGAATGTTTGAACTCATCTGCGTAGCATGGTTAGTTTCATGTCTGTCTCTGTGCTATTGTCATTTAGGTGCCACCTGTGTCCTGAAGAAGAAGTTTTCAGCCTCTCAGTTTTGGCATGACTGCAGGAAACACAACGTCACCATATTTCAGTATATTGGAGAGCTGTGCCGATATCTGTGCAATCAGCCTACGGTACGGTACTGCCTGCTCTCCTCAAATCAGTGATTCTGTATGGGAATATATCTGGGTCATTCTCAGGAAACAGTGCCATTTTTGCCAGATCATTTCAGCAAAAGTAGTACACTTTTCAATAGTTAATTTGTTTCACAGAAGGCAGAAAGTCATACAGGTCTGAAATGACATGCAGATGAGTAAATCCTGACAGAATGCTCTTTTTTGGGTGGACTATTCCTTTAAGATGGCATTGTTTTCTGAGCATGACTCATATGAATGTACCCTATGATTTTTGAAGTTATAAATCATTCGAGCAGCCATGGTCCTGTTAACTCCACAATAATGTCTTCATTATGCATCATGCCTCATTACCAAACGATCCAGGACTCCAGAAGAATCTGTGCGCTGAAGCTCACTGCAGAGTGTGTTTCTGGTCACGCAGACAAACTCCATGTCCTCTGTGAATATACAGTATGAAAATGAACTTTTTGGTTTGTGTGGGGTTGTGCCGTGTTTTCATGGCTAACTGACAGACAGCTCTTTTGTTAATGTCTCACATTCACGGTTCATGTGCATCAGGACATCAGCATGTCCCACAGTCTATCAAAGATGTCTTTGTGCCCGTCCCCTAACGTGGCCCGGACAGTCACACTGAATTCATCAATGTGCTCACGACAGACACAGCAGTGCACAAACTGAGCAAGCACACAAACTCTTACAGCGGCAAGCACATAAAACACATTCTGCAGCAGGAACACCCACATACGATTCTCTGCACATACACTGTTTTCAAAAGGGGACATGTTTCGAGTGAGTGCAGGAAATGTTGTGTTTGTCAGTCCGGTGATGAGCTTTAACTGACAGCGCACACAGACACGAGGCTGTTGTGAATGGAGTGGTTCTGCTGGTCTGACTGCCTGGTATTGTTCACCCACACACACTTACTGGTCTTACTGAGAAATGCAGCACTGCATGAAAAAACCCCATCAGACTTACATTGAAGTAGAGTCTCCAGCCAGAGGGAATAAGAAACCATGCAACAACCACCCAGATCACCCTAGCATTGTGGCAGGACAAACACCAATCACATTTTTTTCTGAACATTTAAAAATCTTTTTTTTTTTCATTAATTATACACTCGACTTAAACCCAAAGTTATACACCGATGAGCCCAAACATTATGACCACCTGCCTAATATGCTGTTGGTGCTTCATGAGCAAAACTAAAGTGTTATTGAAAATGTGACTCGTCGGACCATGCGAGCTTCTTCAGTTTCCAGTCCCGTGGCTCGCATGCCCATCACAGGCACTCTCGGTGGTGGACAGGGGTCATCATAGGCAGTCTGAACGGTGTGCGGCTACGCAGTCCCATATGCAGCAGATGTCCTCCCATTACCATCATTACAGTTTTGTGTGACTTGTGCCACAGCAGATGGGATTCGCTGCCCTCATGCATCAATGAGCCTTGGATGCTCAGTTTGTGGTTTGTCCCTCCTCGGACCACTAGCTATATTTGCATTTCACAAAAATATATAAGCAATAAAAGCCTAGACTTCACAGGCAATGAGTGGAAAGAGAATTTTAGATTGACACAACAGTCATTTATCACACTATATTCAGTAACAGCAGTTCGTTCTGTGCATAATTTCCAGTTTCGGTTTTTAATCCAATCAGGTGTTTACATGTCCTATCAAACGAATCGACTGTGATACTAGTCCGATCAGTCAGGACTGTCAGATTATTAGGGTCCATGTAAATACAACTACTGTTAGTAAATTCTCACCACTGCTGACCTCAAGCCTTGCTGATTCAGAGCTACTCTGATTTAGTCACCATAACAGTTTGGCCCTTGTCTCTCAGATCTTTATTCCTGCCCATTTCTTCTGCATCCAACATGTAGATTACGAGAACTGATTGTTTGCTTACCATCTGATCTATGTGGCTTTGTTAGGAGATGACCCACGATATTTGCTTCACCTGTGACTGGTCATAATGTTTTGCCTCATCAGTGTATATGAAACTTCATGAGAGTTTGCAGGCTCCTGTATGACTGTGAGCAGCTTCATCATGTGTGTGTTTGTGTGTTAGGCTGAGAATGAGAAGGATCACAGGGTGCTCATGGGTGTTGGGAACGGCCTCCGACAGGACGTATGGAGAGAGTTCCTCCGGCGCTTTGGGGACATCCGCATGTGTGAGATCTACGGCTCCACTGAAGGAAACCTATGCTTCATGAACCACATTGGCAAGATCGGAGCTGTCGGACGCTCCAATTTCTTTTACAAGGTTAGTTCAACTCAACATCAATGCAGCTGTGGGTTAGGTCAGGTTGTCAAGTTTAAAGGGCAATAAAAAGATCAGCAAATCTTAGTAAATATTTGAACCAGAATATATAGGTGCGTCTGAATGTCAGATATCCGACAAGCATGAGTAGCAAACAAACAAATGTGATTGCGCCAGAATTCATTACTTGCATCTCTTTGCTTCGATGTCAGAGGCAGAAGGTCAATGATCGCGAGTACCAGAGCAGAAATATCGTCTGTGTTGTGTGTTTAAAATGTTCTCGTTTAGTTCATTTCTCTAAACTGAGTCCCAGTGCTGTTTGATTATTAAACACCGATTCAACATATTCTAATAGTTCAAATCAAACCATAGATCATAGTAGATAATAACTACCAGGCATTGCGCCTCAATTGTTAAAAAAAAAAAAGAGAAAAGAGAAAAGACCATTTGTACCCAAAAGGAAACGGTAGTAATGACGCCCTTTACAGAGAGATGCTCCCTGACTGCAAGGCTCTATACAGGGCTCGTATGGTCCTGAAAAACCTGGAAAACTCATGGAATTTTAAAACAGCAATCACCAGGCCTGGAAAAGTTTCTGAAAAAATAATAAACCCAGAAAGCTTTGGAAAAGTCATGGAAATTAATTTATTTCACAAATCTCTGTGCAGTAGAATATATTTTTTAATCAGGTCCTGATTTTTGGTGTGGTATCACGCATATATCGCCTAGGTTTCGCGTTTATAACCATTTTATAATCATTTGGTAGTTGTGCGCTCCACAGACACTCACAGTCAGATCCAAAGCGCACTCACATAAAGTCACCTCAAACACCTCTCGAGTACTAGATTGAGTTATTTATACGCAGCTTATTGCGCTTAAGCGGCCAAATACACACAAAATTATGTTAAAATGCCCATCCAGGCGAGTATCCTCACAAACAGTCAGTTTTGTGTTAAGTGAATGTAAGCAGCTGTTGAGAAAGCAAACAGTTGTGTATCAGTATACTGGATCTGTGCAGTCAGTCTTAAAGGTGGGGTAAGCGATTTCTGGTAGCCAATGTTGATATTTGAAATCACCAAAACAAACACGCCCCTACCCCAAAAGGGTCTCGCCCCTATTTTGATAGCTCTGCCCCACATATACGTACGCAACCCAGGCAACGATTAGTTCAGTGAAACAAAGCAAAAACAATGTTACACCGTGTCTACACCGGACGCGAGCAGTACGGCGCGACAAAATACTATAGAACTCATTATAATCAATGATGCTGTCTACACCATAGATATATATA